TTACATAGTGCTTGACCATAAATAGTAGGATAACTACCAGGAACAAGAAGTCAATATGGCTTAAATTTACAAAATCTGGTGAGAGTTACATGCTTCTAAAAGGAAATATTTAAAGAATCCTGTGTTAGAGTATTTGTCTGAACATAGAACGTGCTTGTATGAGTAAACTCAATACCCTTTGCAACTCCAATATTTGTTAATATAAAATAGTGGTCTTTTCTTACCTTGTGACAAATGAGAGAAAATTTGAGAGCTGGAAAATGTTTCTTAAACAGTATTTTAGTTAAAAGAGTTATAGCTGTATCATAACTGCCCAAAGAGCAAAATTTATTTCCTGCAATTTTTAGTAAACACAAGAGTGTCAAATCTAATAAAGTCACAGTATCACAGTATGCTAGAGATTGGAAGGGACCTCAAAAGATCATCTAGTCCAATCCCCCTGCCGGAGCAGGAACACCTAGATAATGTTACACAGGAATGTGTCCAGGCGAGTTTTGAATGTTTCCAGAGAAGGAGACTCCACAACCTCCCTGGGCAGCCTGTTCAGTGCTCTGTCACCCTCACTGAGAAGAAGTTTCTTCTCAAGTTTAAGTGGAACCTCTTGTGTTCCAGTTTGTACCCATTACCCCCTGTCCTATCATTGTTTGCCACTGAGTAGAGCCTGGCTCCATCCTCGTGACACTCCCCCTTTCTATATTTATATACACTAATAAGGTCAACCCTCAGTCTCCTCCAAACTATAGAGACCCAGCTCCCTCAGTCTTTCCTCATAAGGGAGATGCTCCACTCCCTTAATCATCTTCGTTGCCCGGCGCTGGACTCTCTCCAGCAGCTCCCTGTCCTTCTTGAACTGAGGGGCTCAGAACTGGACACAATATTCCAGATCCAGGGCAGAGTAGAGGGGGAGGAGAACCTCTCTCGACCTACTAACCACCCCCCTTCTAATACACCACAGGATGCCATTGGCCTTCTTGGCCACAAGGGCACAGTGCTGGCTCATGGTCATCCTGTTGTCCACTAGGACCCCCAGGTCGATCTCCCCTACACTGCTCTCTAACAGGTCGTTTCCCAACCTATACTGGAACCTGGGGTTGTTCCTGCCCAGATGCAGGACTCTACACTTTCCCTTGTTATATTTCATCAAGTTATTCCCTGCCCAACTCTCCAGCCTGTCCAGGTCTTGCTGGATGGCAGCACAGCCTTCTGGCGTGTCAGCCACTCCTCCCAGCTTAGTGTCATCAGCAAACTTGCTGAGGGTACACTCAATTCCCTCATCTAAATCGTTGATGAATATATTAAATAATACTGGTCCCAGTACTGAGCCTTGAGGCACTCCACTAGTTACAGGCCTCCAACTAGACTCAGCCCCATAGACTACAACTCTCTGGCTTCTCTCCTTCAGCCAGTTCACAGTCCACCTCACTACCTGATCATCCAGACCACACTTCCTCAATTTAGCTGTGAGGATGCTGTGGGAAACTGTGTCAAATGCTTTGCTGAAGTCAAGGTAGACCATATCCACCACTCTGGTGGTGACAAGTCAAGACACAAATGACAGAATCTGTACTATTAGCCAGACTTTGTGATGTCCTAGGTTAACACCAGAGAGAGCCTCAACAGTTTGTTGTACTTGAGAAACAAAAAACCCCAGTACTTGTTTCCAGGTATGGAAACAGGTCACAAATTTATCCTTTGCACCAAAGAAAAACATCAGTAAAATATAAAAAAAAAAAAATTACTAAGATTTACCTTTCTTGTGTTCAGATAATCAACACTTTCATTAGTTCAACAACTACTAAAAGCACTCATATCCCCAGAATACACATCTATGGGAATAGGGAGAATTTCCTTGATTTCTTATCTTTACATGCTTTTCTAGCTAAGGATGTTGTGGGGTACTTTTTCTATCTAGAACAAGAAAGAAAATATTTTGATACAAAATATATGTGCTTTCTTGTCCTTGTAAAGATTCTCCTTGTATCTCATATCAATTGTCCTATATGCATTGCACTTCAGAAAGCATTAAAGACTTCAATTTGGCCTACTTGTGCTGCAATTTTATCCTTTCTAAATCAATTATATTTATCCTTTAAAAAAAGGATCATGTCTTATTACTCAGCAAAATGAAGTCAGCTGACAGCAGAGCAAAGCTGACAGACTTTGGAATAAAGTGGATGGGATATCCACAAAAGAATCGCTGGGCTCATCGTTACTTGACGAGTGGGAAAGCAAAGTGGGCAAAAAAATAGAAGGACCTTCAAATTACTGGACTGTGAAGTAATCCCGGGGGGGTGGGGCGGGGGAAGGGGGGGATAGGGGAAGAGTAATATCATGTTCTGTAGCTTTTAATTACACACATATTAAGTCAATCCATATAAAGAACACACACTCTATGAACAGCCAAAGGAAGTGAGGCTGTATGTATTACGTTAAGCAATGCGTTCTCCAGAATACACATGCACAGCCACCATTAACTGGGATTTCATCTGTAAAATAGCAGAACAGTCACTTCTTATGAGAAACTCCTATACATTACTTTAAGAGTTTAACTACAGTTATGCGCTTAACCCAGAAAAGTAAAACCCAGGTAGATGTTCTGAAGTAACTCAATGCATTTATTTAAAAGCATATTCAGAAAAACAAAGTCTCTAAAATAGTATCTTATGGTATTAAGCATGGATTGCATCAAGTCTCAAAATATTTTAACATTTAGTTGTTTTAAGAGTTTCATTTTTATCTGTCTAGATTTGCAGAGATAATTTTAGCTTCAAATTTATTTTCATTAATTTGAATTTATACTGCAGTACTACCAACCATGCAAGGCAGTTTATTAAACTTACACTACATGACAGTTCCTGTCCTGAAGAGACTCCTGTCTACGTGACAAGCAAGACCAACAATGGGAAGAAAAACAGATGCAAACAGAGGTAAAATATCTCATCTAAGGTCAAGCCACAGGTCAAAGACAAAACTGAGAGTAAAATCCACTCTGCTGGCTCTACTGCCTCCAGGAGGCTACTGGTGTGCTGTGAGCCTCACCAGCAACAGGGAAAAGGACTAACAAAATTCCTAAGAAACCAGCAGAACTTTTAATTCACTTTCTGGCACAGCAGATGACACATTTTAAGTTGGCATGTCTTGTTCTTGACCATGGAAAAATTACTGCAGTGCAAGATGAGTACTGTAATTCTCTGTGATTTAGTCTGTGCACTTTTTTCCTCAGTATATTTACAAATTTACAGAATAATTTCATGTTGGTTCGATTTGTAAGAGATTCATAGCTAAACTCAGGAGATAATTTTGTATCTGTTTTTGAAAGCACCAGGCATAGCCATAGTATTCTGTAACCCTTGCTTCTTCAAAATATTCATGTTTTGTATTCCAAATTTCAACCATACTAAGCAAGCTGCCCTGAACTGATTGTTAAAGCAAAGCAAATACAAATGCATTCAGGGATACTTTAAGATTTCAAATTGACTAGCTGCAAAATGCTTAATTTTATTCTTTTTATTTACATTTCTAGCTACAAATGGGTAAATGTAGGTATGTACATTTTTGAGGGTAAAGGTAGGTACAAATGTTATAGAAATGTAGGATCATGTCTTAACTGTAGAACTGACTCTCAGCATGAGCACCAATTTCAAAACTAAAAATACCTTTATGCCAAAAAATTGCTCACCCTTCAGAGGCAACCTTGTATAAAGATCACAGTCACTTACTCTTGTAGTATAGCAGACAAAACAGACAAACTAAAGCAAAAAGAAAAAAAAAACACAACAGATTAAACTCTGTGTCACTTCATAAAGATTTTAGGCTCTGACCAAGTGCATTAAAAATGCAAAGTGAAGTTAACAGTGTAAATGGAATACTGCTAACAGATCTTATAGGGAAAATATAATCCAATTATTATCATAAAAAATTCTTCAGTCTTTAGTTCTTAATAGAAAAAATAGTTAGACTGGTCTAAACATTACCATTGTAACAAAAGCCTACGGATGAGACCATGGTGAATTTCAGCAATACAGCACCAACAAACGAGGATCATGGAGATTTTCTTTCTTGGATTTTTTTTTTTAATGGCAGACATTCTTTTGTTTACAGTTTTCAAAGAGAGGATTATAGCATTTAACTAAAAATAAGCATAAATCAAGCTTGTTATCAATACTAATATATTAAAAGTAATCAAACACATCTTTTGAACAGGTCAAATTCATCAGACACAGAAATATATACTCTAAGTCTTTAATATAATAGTTAAGAAACACTAAGGAAGGGGAGAAATAGAATCAAATGTTTATGTACATACAACTGAAAAAAGTAACTACAGGAAAATACAGCTGCCTTCAACATTGCAGAAATAATTTTACTTTAGTATGACATAATTCAACTAATATTTCAAAAACAAAACACAACACACATACACACACCCCCCAACACTCAGTATGTAGGGCTCTAGCCTAACAGTTTAGCAATTTAAAAATTGTGAAATAAAGTGGATTTGGTTATCACAGGAGCTTTTTGCCCTCTTGGCTAATTCTGAAAAGCACAAGTAAACAGACAAAAGTAAGTTAAAATTACTGCTTTTCTGTCAAATGATAAATCAATCTATGAAATGAGACTTAGGAAACTGGAAATGGCTTGGATTCTCTTTCTTTCCTTTTCATATCAATGGCTACTCTTAAAGAGATGAACTACAGAGAAATACAAAAATGCTATGTAGATCACTTTTGTCAATAGCCTGGTGATCAACTATAGCAATTCTGGACATTACTACAGGAAAGCCTAATTCATTCCCATACTTCCTGCCATCTACAGAGACATTTCTAAAACAGACCCTGCCTAAATCTATGATATTGTTAAACAAATCCCTGGTCAATGAATAACTTGAAATGCAGCATGAAGCTTAGCCACACTTATGCAGCATTTTCTATGATTAACTACAGGGAGACAGGAATAAGGAAAAAGAAAAAAAATCACTAAAAACCAATATAAACATTTACCCTTCTTATACGCAGTTCTTCTACTGCCTCCAATAAACTTGTTTTAAAGTCTAACAGTCGAATGGAAAGTACTGTCTCTGATGGACTTTTAAGAGTAGAGTCAAGTGCCTGTGTTTCGAAGTCTTCATCCATTCTTTGAACTTGTTTCTGCAAAATAAATAAAATGTGTATTTCCTCCTCAGTTTAAGAGAATAGTCAAACTGCAAAACTTGCAAGTATGGAAGCAAATTATTTCTGTGAGGAGTAAAGCTACTACTTACAGCCATGACACAATGAACAATATTGACTGAGATTATCAGGAAAAAGGAAGCAGTACAGGGGTTTTTTCCACTGCTGCTGCCCTACACCAGCATGAAAGTACTGCAACTAACACATCAGACCATGAAAATGTACATACCTACCTTCAAGATTTCAAAATCACAAGACAGGCTCAATTTTAAAGACAACCTTCAGACTGGCTTGAAATCATGAACTAAAGGTAATATATGTAGCTTCTGCCTCTGAATTCTACCAAGAAAACTTTTGTTTCTGTTCCCACAAGCTCAAGTATCAAAATGTTGTAGTCTAAGCTAGCTAAATCAACTGTTGTCAAGCAGGGAGTTATGCTAACATGAGACCCATGTGTCTCTGTAGGTACAAAGCATGTTTGTTAATAAGAGAGATCATTACAACACTTGGCATTTGATTTAGAAAAAGATCATACCTGTACATACGTCATCCTTATGTACATCATATATGTAAATTACATCATATGTAATCATGTAATCATAATCTGTATTTCCCAGATTATTTTTAATATTTAAGACTGAATTTGCACCAGTCCCCTGGAACATATAACATCATCCTTTCCTTAAGACACCCCACGGGTGCTTCTGGACTAAGAATTAAAGAGGTAGGGATAGCCCACACAAGTTATGGCTGACCACTGCCACAGAACCCTTAGGAAGGAACTCCTGCAGGAATAAGAGAGACCTGCCTGTGTCATGGGGCCATAACAACCACAAATCAGAGCTCCCCACTTTTTCTGCTGTTGTCTAAATAAAACCCTAACACAGATCAAATTTAAGCTGCTTGCTCATGGATAATAGATTGATTCCTTTCTTAGCTGCCCTACCACAAAAGCTATTCTAAGTTACTGAAATAATGGATTTGCTAAAACCAGGAAAAACAGGCTCAATTTTGTCTTCCATTTTAAAATATGTCTAATTCCGAACTGTTCAATATGAAATATTTATCAAAGTTCTTTTGTCAGTGTCAAAATGTGCATGTTTGAAGGACTTCTGAAGAAGCAGCAAATAAAAGTTAATAAGAACAATATGCAAACTTGTACCACTTCAGGCAACAAATCTGGTGTGTTGATGTGCAAAAATGAATCAGGTATTGTGCAGTCAACCTGCATACATTTTAGACACAATTCAGGTATTTTAGACACAGGCCTAGGTATTTGGTGTGGTTTGTTTTAAAGTAAAGCATTATAATTAAAAAAAAACAAACACACACTTTTTGGTTTAGTAAAAATATTTTGAATTTATGAAGTCAGACAACCCCCCACAAACACATTAAAATATATTTCTTTCACACAAGTTGTCAAAATTGTTTCCTTACTGATAAATACTACTGATTCATGAGGCACTACTACAAACAAAACTTTTGATATCATATAAAGTACTGGGAGATGATCATAGCTACAAAACTAATAAAAATGCTAGCATTATGCACAATAGAACATGCACAGGGCCATTTCATTTCACTTTTAATTATGCTATATTCTGACCTGAAGGGTAAGATTTTGCAACTATGATGTTAAAACATGATAACATGCTCAGATTCTATTGCTGTGAGCTGACATTAGATGCTCAGAGTCAGGGATTCTACAGTGAATTTCTACAAGACAGTACTGTTACCAAATGGAGAATCCCAATAGCCTGTATTAATAAGGGGAAAAAACACACGACACAGAAAAAGGATGGTCTAACTCTGGGATTCATCCTACAAAGGTAGGTGCTCTTGAAGGAGTGTACTTCAGTTATGAAATAGTTTCTCTTCAAGTCAACCAGCAGAAGTATGCATTAACCAGTCCACACCAGGGCTTGAGATTGCCCTTCCCAGCACAGAAGCAATCCAAGAATTATTTTCTCAGGGCAATATTTTTAAACTATTGCTATGCTCTAAAGAATGGAATAAAATGAGCCTCAGGCATCCATCCTCTCACCTCACTGATCTCAGCAGGAGCACTTGACAAACAAGACTTCACCTCCATAATGCAGTGAGTAAGGATAAGGGCTTTTCCGAGTGAAGTTCATTGATTCTTCACCCATCCCTTCACCATGAAAGTATTATTTCCTCATGGGCAATTTGTACTCAGACTGTTTTTTCCAAGACTGCAACAAAATGCTTCACAGCCTTCTGCTGAAAACTGCAAGGTATACTGCATGTTATACATGCTCCCTCTCGCCCTCCTCACAGTTGAGTGCAAGACACCTATGTCATCTCTTCCACCACAGAGAGATCAAAGAACTTAGTTACTTGCCAAATAGTTTGTACTGTGCTTGACTGGAAACAAAAATATATAAAAAGGAATAATAAAGTTACAAAAGATTTTCAAATATCTACCATACTGATAAAATGCCTACTTTCAGTATCACACATAAATACAAATGCCTAGAGCTATTGTAAAGATGTATGATAACTAATAAACATCTTTTGATATAGAAAATGCCAAAAAAATTTTTGTGTAATCAAAGATATTCCCAGATAGATGCATTTTTATTTTAACAACTGGTATTTATCAGAATACCTGTAATTAAAAAACAATCCTAGAGCATACATGAAATAACATTCTAAAAGTTAAAGACTGAAGTTCCTATTTTGAAGCAATTACTACTCTTGATTTCCTGATTGGTTTATGTTTAACAAAAATTACTTTTTAAAAAGCACATTTAAAAAAATCCATTTTAACACAATTTTAAGTGCCATAAAGGGCTTTATATCTTAGAAAAGCACTTATTAAAAATTACATCTTAAATACCCTACACTAGAAAGTAAGTTAGCCTATAAGCCTGATAGGGGTCAGGGTAATAACACAGAATGAACAAATTACACTGTCATTCCACTTAAATTATTTAAGTTATTTAATTTGACCTGTAGATAGTCTCTTGTCTTCTCATCATGCCTGACTTTTAAGTGGGAGGTCTTCATTCATGATGATCCTTTAATGGAAGCAAAGCTTTCTCCATTTAACCCATGGTGTTATCAATCATGTACAGGGATAAATGAGGCTGTAAGATTTTGCCAGTATCACAAATGACACTGTGACCTGAGGCCAACATCTTTATTTGCTTCTCCAGTGATTCACTTCAGCAGATATTAACCAATTTTATAATCCATGAAAGGCAAAATTAAAGGACACCATCCATAAAACAGAATAATTCCTATCAGCAACAAAGTGATGTCTGTATTATCTTATAAATTATATGGCCATACAGTGTGGTAATGTAATGAAGTAAAGATGGTAATAATCAAATGCCTAGGGCAAATGCTAATATGCATTTAATCACACAGCATGAAGCCATTTGTCACTACAGTTGAATGCATGTGTACATAAAATACATGAGTCACGTCCTTATTGTTATACTATAACAGCATCAATTTCACACTATCATTTTACCACAATAACAACTGTAGGTTTTGATATTAACTAAAACATCCAGTGCCAGAAGTGCAAGTGATAGCAATATCTTTTAAAAACTGTTTTGAAATCCTGTTCCCCCTGCTATTTGACTTAACACATTAGAATTCTGTGAACATGCAATATTCAGTAATATTTTTGTACAAAACCCCCCTTTGGGTACATTTTCACAGCACCCTGAATAACTTTTTAGAAACAGTGTAATTTATGGCATTTCAACATAGGTTGAATCTGTTTTAATGAACACATCAACCTTGACACATAATTCATGATTTTCATTCGTGTGTTTATGGGTACTTCCATACACACAAGAACCAGAGAAAATATTTGCCTTAATGTTTGCAAATACTACCTCCAGAAAAAAACACACTGAAGTGTAAGCATCAATTTCCGTGCTTGGTGAAATACAAGAATGAAAATAATAATGGAGAAACTTTATCTGCCTAAGTCTAATAACTTCTCATCAAATGAATGGCTATAAAAGTATGGCTATTTCCATCAGCTGCAGATACAATTGATTCTCATGTATCATCTCTTTGCTTCAAACGCAACCCACTAAAACTGACAGCTGTAAGAAACACCTTGACTTTTTGCGAAAAACAGTGTAAAAGTTTATGCAACCAAAATTAATTCATCCAGGTATATAATACATGCACATGCGTACAGTTTTGTCTAGCCAGGAGCTAGAATTTAAATCCGAATGTGTTAAGTTACTGTATTTTCAAAATGTTAGTGATGCTGTGGAACCACCAAGTCAGAGTACAGTCTCACAAATACATACCAGGTTTTTGTTACATTAAACTAAAGAGCACGGAATACTGCCCACTTCTAAGTCAAATCCTTTTAAAAAACATTTGCATGCAAAAAGTGGCATAGTATGACTGCATTTAATACAAGATGTTATCAGTATTATGAATCCACACTACACAGGATAAGGTTACTTTTATGATCATTAAAGACTAAAATACATGTAGTGGCACTGCGTAGATCACAAACAGCAAGATATTAAGTCATACACATTTTCACTCTCCAAGGAAATGTGTTTGATACTCTTCAAACACCTGCTTTTATTAGAGAGAAAAACAGATTTGATTTGAATCCATTCTTACCTTAAAAATATATCCTTAAGTTCTGTTATAAGTTTATAAAGTTCTAACTTACATATGAGTTCAGGAACTAGAAAACAGCAGTCAGCTGTACTGAAGGAGCCTAAGAGCCCAGAGTCTGCGATTATGCTAGGACAAGCTAACCAGAAAGCACTAGAAAAAAAGGTGTTGTTCATAATTTTCCACATTCCAATTATCATATGCAACCAAGTCAGGTGTGACCCCCCCATGATAAAGTAATCTACTTGCACACAATGCCATAAAATTTGGACTATAAAACAACTTGGTACATTGCCATGTAGAGATAACAGACAAGAAATATAGAAGAAGCTACATCATATAAGATCCACTGA